TTTTTTTTTTTTCTCCACACACGCCCACCTAACAAAACTAAACCGATAGAGGCGGAGAAAAAAATAAAAACGGCATTTATGAAAAGGCTTTCAACTCCCGGAGCTGTTTGTGAACTTTGAAATGATTGTGAAGGCGAGAGCGAGCCATTACGAGCAATAATTGCTCCCTTTCAGAGACAAGGAACCGCCAGGTCAAACTCATGCCATGTTGCGGTCCCGGGTTTCCTTCCAGAATGTTTTTTTTTTTTTTTTTTTAAATAAAAAATAGCAATCAACACTGACTGTTGAGTGATTGCCACATAATTACCATTGAAAGAAAAATTAAAAAATCTCATACAGCACAGTGTAATCCGCATGTGCCTGTTTCTAAACCTACGACTTACAATTTAGTTGCATTATAAGGTGCTACTATGGCACTGATTAGCGGTGCTGAAAATTGCAACTGGTACAACGCAGACTTGAATGGGATCAGTCTCGCTCTGATAGAACTGAACAAGAAGATACCGTTTTTTGTTCTGTGAAACAATTGGTAAGTTTGAAGAAGAAGAAAAAAACAATGGTCATGACCGAAATGTTGATTAAACTCACATCAGGCATCAAGTCACACGTTGAAGAAGATACACCGCTTGGGCGCCGCATAGAATTCAAATCAGGGATTGCTATCAATAAAGTTTTGGGTTTTTTTTTTTTGGAAGAACCGTCAAATTTGAAGAAGAACGGCAAAGAAAAATAATCACCCCTCGTGCACGGGATCAAGTCACATGTTGCAGAGAGCGAGACAAAGCACAAAGCTGGAAGTAGATTGCTGCTAGTGTTTGGAGTGAAATGAAACAGAATGCGGGTGTGATTTCGGCGAAGGAGATGGTGACGAGCGAATGAGCCGATGCTGACACTGTGGCTGGAGATACTCACTCTGCATGCACAGGCCGTCCGTGCAGTTCTTGGACTGCAGTACCATGCCCTCACAGTCCTTGCCCCCATTTTTGGGTGCCGGCGCGCCGCATTCCCTCCTCCTCCAGTGGGTGCACTCGGTCCCACAGGTGGACCACTTACTCCACTCTGTCCACAGGCCATCCACTACCACACAACAGACAGCACACTTGAGGCGATGGCACGACCCAATGCGTGAGTGAAAATGGGCATGGGGTGAATTATGCCGACGTGAAAATGCTAGGGTTGCAAACTTTTGTGAATTTTCAAAGTTGGGAACTTTCCATGGGAATCAAAGGGATTCATAAAGTCGTGCCATGACTTATAATTTGTTAATTCAGAACTAAAATTGCGCGTATCAAATCAACTTTCCCATTTGAGATGGATGGAAACACTAATAATTTGTTTTCAAAATGTTTATATTATTTTTTCTAGACTCAAATTAATGGCCAATTTTAACTAAACATTCCCATACATGCGAAAACACTTCCGGGTGTGCGGTCTCGAAGAACGCACGTCACACAATGCTGTGCACTCCTCGCATACGTACTAAGTCACACATGTGTCTGTTTATATGTGTTGCTGCGCCGTTTGTGTTCAAATACCCATCGTTTAAAGGTTTAGAATTGCCACAATATCGATGCTACTTTTGTCAGCCTGTCTATGGTGTTTCGTATGATGTGTTAGCATTAAGCTAGCAGAGTTTCGTTTGACTCAGTTATGTTCGGTTTTACAGTACACTTCAACTGCTTAGGTTCCCATGGAAATTTACCAGAAACTTTGCGGAAATTCACCCGGCAATATTCTACCCCTTTGCAACCTTAAGTAACTCCAACGAATATAACACACATTTTAATGAGTACATGACTGACCTGGACAGAGAGGATTGCACGGCAGCTTCTGGATGCCTTGTCCGTCGCAGATGGCGCCGCCGTTGAGTGGCGCAGGATTGGTGCAGCTGCGTGTGCGTTTCTGGTAGCCCCGCCCACAGCGGCTGTTGCACACCGACCACTCGGTCCATGTTGACCAGCCACCGTTTACTAGGGTTAGGCGAGAAAAATACACAATGAGCAGATTGCTTCACACAGTGGTATGTCAACATTCAAACACGGTGAGGCGCTTCAAACAGGATGGCACGGAGAGACTGAAAGAATCACAGAAAGGCATATACGCGGACATCCTTGAAGATTTACGGACGTGAATTGTGCTATGTGGATATCTGAACACAAATGATGGAACTCCATAGACAAACAGGCAGACGATATCCAGGTAGCAATATTCTGGCATGTTTTCTTTATCCTCTTCAAAAACAATGACTATTACGCCTTCTTACTGAGGAGTGGTGACCGTTTTCAATCCATGTATTAATCTAATTATTGTGGGCAGGTATTTCCATTTATTTCAGTAAGGAAATGCGGCACTGCTATATTCTGTACATAGGTAAGAATGTGTCAACAAAGTGCACAACTTTTATTTTATTTTATTTTTTACCTCCCACACTCAGGCCATCACTTTGTCACGCAGCCGGATAGTACATGACGGTCAGATAGCAGCTAGTTTCCAGTCACCGATTTCTCTTCATGCTTCTCTTTCCTCTCTCATCCGTCTTTGTCAGTCGCAAAGATCCAGTGCGCAGCGACAACAAAGCTACCGTGGCCGGCATCCCCCCATTTTTTCTGAATTGTTGGGGGGATTTTTGAAAGGCATTGTCTTTGTCTTTCATTGTAATTGCGTTAATGGTAATTGAAAATTTAAAAAAAAAAAAAAACTGTCAGGCCCAATTTGCTGTTCTTGGTGTAGTAATTGTTGGGGGGATTTTTGAAAGGCATTGTCTTTGTCTTTCATTGTAATTGCGTTAATGGTAATTGAAAATTAAAAAAAAAAAAAAAAAAAAACAGTCAGGCCCAATTTGTTGTTCTTGGTGTAGTTTTTTTTTTTTGCTATTATTCCTTTACTTTTGACAAATAATACCCTGACCTCATAATGTGGCGTTGTTTTTTTTTTTTTTTTTTTTTTGCTGTTATTCCTTTACTTTTGACAAATAATACCCTGACTTCATAATGTGACAACAATATATTCACATAATATTAATGCTTTTTCTTCTTGTCCTAGAACTTCCTTTTTATGGAAGCATTTGTTTTTCCTTACCCTAATACTCCTTTTGTGGTAACTATTGTACTTCCCACAGACCTAAAACGTTGCGAGCTATTTATTTTTGGGACATATTTTGACACGAATACAAAATTCCCTTCAACTCTTCCCATCTTTGTGGCGCTTTTACACATGACACAATTACGCATATGTGTATACTGCATCCCATTTTGGAGACGCACAGCCATAGTGACATTACAGCACTTTACCTGTCAAGGATAAGCTGACATTAAAAGTGCTTTCCCCTGCGTACCGGTGACAGGGGATCCTTGCCGAGATGTTGAGCCCAATGGCTGTAAAACAAGTTCGCTGTAATTCCCCAAAATATAACAACAAACCAGAAACATTTCGTTTTTGGCGATACGCCATCATGAACAAGGCATGTTAGCATGCACATTCGTGAGTTGTGGGGCGTTTCTTCGGCCTGAGATGCGAGAGGTTAGTCATCTTACCGCGACTTGAAAGCGCAATCACTTTACAAGAAAAATTATTTTGTTTCCACCCTCGTGAGGCCAATATTTCTGAGAGCATATAAATAAAATAGCGGCGCACCGTAGACGATGACCGTGGCAGTGGTACTGCGTCGCTTGGCCACGATGTTCTTGGCCACGCACGTGTAGTTGGCCGTGTCAGAGAGGCGCGCCTGTTTGATGATCAGATTGTGGTCGATGGTGATGTAGAAATTCCTGTCATCGGCAGGGTCAATCACCTCCTCGTTTTTCAGCCACTCCACCTATGACCGAGAAAGAAGAAGAAACGTTCCTTTCGTGGAGCGCAGACAGGCAGCGCAACCCAAAACTATCAGCAAATTTTCAAGTCTCCTTTCGTAGATTGAAGACTCTGCAAGGAATACAATTTGGATAAATAGTATGAAAAAAAATACAAAAGCACTCAAAGATTTTTAAAATGAAAAGTACATTTTAGAAATTTAAATGTTTTCTGTTGATCTGAGACTTTCATTAACAAAAATGATTTTGTATTGATTTCTGTGTTGCTGTATATCTGTAGCAAGAGAAGAAAGGAAGGTCAGTTGTTTGAGAATTGTAGTTTAATGCACTGTACTAAGTGACCTTTGCACTCCACAAAAACTCCATGTATAAAAAAAAATAAAACTAATCTTAAAACTAATAAAACTAAAGTAAAACCAAGCATTTTAAACAAGATAAACAAAAAAAGCAATTAAAAACAAAAACAAAAAAAACCCCAAAAGTCAAAATGAAATCAAAACAAACTACAATGAAAACTCCCAAACTAGAAAATGTCATTTATCTTGCGTTTGGTCTGCTGGCTATCTGCGACTTGAGCGTGTGATCCCTTTGCAAGATAAAGATTTTTGTTATTACCCTCGCAAGAACAACATGCGTCTTTTATAAGGGCCCACAAGTGAGTCTGAGGAGCTTTTTAACCTTTTCTCACTAGTACATTTCTCTAAATGATGCGGATATTGAACTCCTCCGGTAGAAGCGAGGAACATTTGGGATCTTTTTGGGGGGGGGGGGTTTAAATCACAAAAATAACCTTTTCTTTGGTGGATGATTTAGAAAGGAACCCGGCAGACACTTTGATTCCAAATATTTCCTCATCTTCAAAGAGTGCAGTCAAGCCATGAGGGGACCCGGCACGCCGACTTCCTGCTCATTGTCGCGTCCCACGACGGCAGGGAGCCCCTCACCCCCCAAACCGCCGTATGTGAGATAAGACGACGATCGGGGCAGGTCGAGATAAGCAGGATGTTTATGTAAAGATGAAATGAAGTGCAGGGCTCAATGTAATTCCTGCCAAGGTACAACACTGTGGCCATTGTTGTGAAAAAAGAAAATAAAATACAGCATTGTTAGACGTCTCCCAAAGCAGACGATTAACTGATTGTGACACGAAGTTGGTTGGAAGTCAGCGCCGGCAGAAAATTGTAATCTGTTTTTTTTTTTCTAACAAGTGAAATAGAAACCCATCATATAATAAGATAACATAATTAAATAGAACGCCAAAAATTAAACAGTTTGCGCATCATAAATAAGTCAGTGAGGCTTCTTCTCGTGCCCACGACTTCGGTGGCAGTACAAAACAATCATGAAGGCACCAATGAAGTTTCACTTAACTAATGTGATTCAGTAAGCTGTGGTCATAATATTAGTCATTCTTTGCAGAGGATAAAGAATACATGCCTGTGATTATTGTTTTTTGGCTTTTTACATGTGTTGCTGCATCCTTTGTGTTCAAATATGCCTTGCTTAAACCGTTACAACACTGCCACATAGATATTTATTCGTACCTCTTTGGCATTTCCCATTTTGCGTTAGTATTGAGCTGGGTTTGGTGACAATATGTGGTTGTTTTGGAGGAAATGAATTTTGTTTTATGTTTAGTTTGACAGCAAATGTCAACCGGGAGTGTCACATAACTTGAATCCTCATTTTTGAGAAATTATTTAAAATTTGCCAAATTGGTCATTCGAATCTCAAGCTACCACCGTACAGGCATCAAATCGGAATTTGGCATTTGGCCCTGCTGTGTAAACACATCCAAAGATTACCATTAAATTGGCAAAGATTCTGTCATTATTCGTCTTTAGTGTCTCATTGTTCAGCGAGAACAAAGTGTGATTACTAACAATAACGTTATGATTGCCATTTTGTGGCGCTAATGGAACAAATAAAGGAGGACGTGGAGCAGTGCTCTCCAAAACGAGACCGACAGCGAGTGCAAAAAAAAAAAAACCCAAAAAAAAACCTGCTTCTTGTCCAATTTTTCTTTGCACCAATCACAGCGACGGCCTCTGCAGACGCGACGCGTTCGGATGTCAAGAGCACTTTGATACGGGCGGGTAATTAAAAATTGAACAAAAGAGCTTTTCAGTGTAGATGTGGTGCTGTTGGGGGGGTGGGGGAGG